GCGAAGCACGGATAGGACACCCTTGAGGATCCCGCTATAGCGGGGGGAAACCCATCGGGAGTGATCATCCAATCATCACATCAGGCAGGCCCCTGGGAGAAAAGTGTCCAATGAGTTGATCGAGAACCCACCCCCACAGACCCCAACGGCAATCGTATAATAGACATCAGTTGGTCTCAGCTATGCTGCAAACGTAAGAGCACAAGCGCTGCATGGACGCCGTTCATAGCCTTCACAGCGTATCATGAACTTTCAACCGCATCTGTGCCGACCCTCACCACTCGCATGCATCAGCTGCTGTGGCCTACAAAAATCTGCTACAGTAGCTGGAGATTATGCATCTACACTCGCCAGCGAGCATATCCAGATCTACACTCCCGGGCCATCATGGGCCGTGGATGGCATGGCTCCGCAAGGATGAGCATTTAATTGAAAAAAATATGGAAGTGAAGTGAACACCACCTCTTACAGGTGGTTTTCACTTCACTTCCATGATTTCTTCCATTGCTTCAGAACATGGGCACACGATGGCACACGTATATATACCGGTTGTTGTTTTTGTTCTTTTGTGGGGTCATGTATTCATCCATTTTCTTGTCCCAGCTACTCTCAAATGTTATCTCCGCAACCAAGCTCCTCGTCCCGTCACCAGTGCCTCCTCTCGGTGCCACGCGGAGGCAGAGATCAATCCGGCAGTCGAATTCAGCTTCGACCCTCGGAGATCCTTCACAGGATGAGGACGGTAGAACAGGTCGAACAATGAGGACAATGGGAACCTATAGCATAGTTCTACAGGTCGAACTCCTAACAGGATGTTGAAAACAGGATATGCACTTCAGGTAGAACAGGTCGAACAGAACAGTTTGATTCTCCCTGAACAGTGCAGATTCTCCCTGAACAGTCTGGGCCACCATGCTGGACTCTTTGCGACGCTTTGTAATGCTTCCTGCTTAAGTGTCTGTGTGTCTCTGTGTGTGTTCGGTGTTTTGGTTGGTTGACCGGACCGGCCGCAAAGACACCACCCACATCGGCTCTTGAGGTCCTTCTCAAATTGACCCACACCCCATCCCTATTTTCAAACATGTTCAGTGCAATGAAGTGTCACATGGAGGGTTCCAGTGTTGGGACTTTTCGGACAGTGGAGTCTGCAGTTGCATGTGATGCCTGTGGTTCTATTCCTTCCAAAGCTTGCTTGAGCAGGGCCGTGGAATGCAGCGGAATGAGCGGCTGAGTCAAGGGGCTCCAGCTGTGTCTGAACTGGATGCAGCTCCTCCTCTTTGTGTTGAACCAACATGAGAGAGCCCCCCTTACCCTCAGGTTTGAGCTGCCAAGTGATGAGTCATCATCAATACAATCGTTCAGTGCTCTTTTCGGACTGAGCTGGCCCAAATTTCTATCCTCAAAGGAGTCATTGAAGCAGGTGTTATGATAAGCATCGGATCTTCTAGAGGACCCCCACACATCACGCAAATCAAGACCACCTCGGCAACAAAGATCTGTCTTGCTCCTGCCTTTTTTGGCTTCAATACTATAACCCTAACAGCCGCCCGAGGTCCTCGTCATGGTCCAAACCTCGTCTTCGACGTTCGTCACCACCAAAGGATTCAGGAGAGTCTCTCTTAGCTTCTGGGTGGAGGCTCGAGCCTCAGGTGCTTCCCCCCTCTCCCTGTCCATTGGCCCACGATGCCCATCCGGGCACCAAAAAAGACCGTGGCGATGAGCGTGAGGGATGCAATGTACCTCAGGGAGCGGTGTGGAGCTGTGCGGCTTTTGGGGGGAAGGCACAAATAGAATGAAGGTTTCTTTCAACCGGCGAAACTCCACCCCCAACTTGAAAGAGGTGGATGTCCTAGTGGCAGAAATGGCAGAAACTGGCGGTACGCAATCTATCGAGTCCAGGCAGGAATCTGTCAGTCCCAGAGTCTAAGAATCTATATGGTGGTTGATCTAAATTCCTTTCATCTGGAAAGTGCCTCTTCGCGAAAAAAAAGACTACTTTCGCGAACCCCATGCTTAACTTTCGCGAAGTATGATCTTACATATTCAGAAGAAGTTCGGGTACATGGGTATATATATATATAGTAGTTAAAGGAAAACTATATATAGGTATGCATGATGTAGCCCCTAACTCAACTTTGCAACCTGTAACTGACTTCTCACCTGGAGCCCCATTGCGTATGCATTCCCGAAAAGTTCCGACTATATCCATCCTACAATCTTTCTGTCTGACTCGAACCTAAAGAGACATGAGGCAACCCCTTCTCAGGACAACCCGTCTTTCGCGAAGACTTTCGCGAACTTTCGCGAAACTTTCGCGAAAAACCGGACATGTTTTGGACAAATTCCCAAGTTTCTTCAGCAATGGATCGAACCTTTCCATTGGCGTACCGAGTTTCCTCTGAGACGAAACCCGTCATTTGAGCAGCAAAAGCTCGTGAAGACAAGGCTTGGTGACAATTGCACAAAGACTCTGATTTCCTTCTGAGCTGGTGCTCTGAAAAGATCACAGTAAGCAAACAAATAAGGGTCCCTTTACCTACAAATAACATACATGGTTACATGAACTTTCGCGAAAAAAAAGATTACTTTCGCGAACCCTGTGTTTAACTTGCGCGATCTTTCGCCCGGTTGGTACTTAGTAACCGAAATGGCTGTTCCATATGAAGCTCCTTTCATGGACCTTTAGATCGATGCCCATATGGATCACATTAACTTACCAGCTGTCACAAAGCGGATGTGTGTGTGTGTGTGTCGTGTCCCATCCAATCAGTCAGTGGATGTGACAGGGGCACCCCTAACCTCCATGGATAGCACCCCGCCCTGGAACTGATGATTTTTCAGGAATTCGTGTCTCATGAGTTGCACTGGGCCGCCCAAAAGCACTGGACTCCATTTCGCCCAGCGGCAGATTGGACCCAATCAGGCACAGGTCACCTGGGCGCGCTCGGAGCGAACCGAACGGTTGGGAGCAGTTCGAGTTCCTTCTTCAGCTGTCGCAGCTTCGGATCTGCCTGACGCATGATACTCAGCATGATCTGCAGATCGCAAACGTGCCGAGGTGATCCTTGAGGATTGAGACACAAGAAGGTCGACCAGAAGGAAAAGCGAACGACGCCAGGCCGTGCATCATGGCTTTTTAATCTTTGATCATGAGACACCCCAACACACTTGTACTCATACCAAGTCAGGTCCCAACTCGGCAAGTCATATTATACCTAGAACCTCGTTAGGCAATAATTTCCACCCAACGCCATTTAGGCAGAAAAATCAGCCCGTTTTTGCAAAGAAGCTACAGCCTCGAGGGTCAAAATCGCCGAGGCACACTCACATGCATTCTTACATGCAGGAGTCAAAGCCAGAATTTGAATGAACAAAATTGAGAAAACAAACGCCTGCCACTTGACGCTAATCCCCAGTCTAGAGTTTTTCAAACTCATGTCGCTCACTCCCCCCAAAAGGCTACCATTCCGTTGTCCACCCAACTACTGATTGTAGTCAGGGGGGAATGGGCAAGAACGCCTAAGTGGGAAGAACACCTGCGCAAAAATGAATTAAAGCGTAGAAAAACTAAACATACAAAAGAGATGATCACAAGAGAAACATTAAGGGAATTCATGACAAGCAAATGTACCTCACTATGAAAGTTCGTGGAATCAGTGCTGGGCGGATCCTCATCTATTTGAGCACTGCCACCAATAGGACAAGAACGCCCAGAGGGGACAAGAATGCCTACAGGAGGCAAGAACGCCTAAGCACGGGCAAAGACGCCTTTACCCCAAATAGGCAAAAACTTCTGCCCAAGAAAAGGTTATGTTATAGGTATATACACATTCTTGAGACATGAGATGACACAAGCTCCCTACAGATTTACGCCTTGCATGCGACTGCATGCAACCCCCTGAAATGGAATTCATTTGATGTGGCCATACTAAAAAGGAATCTAAAAGGAATCTCGCATGCATTCTTTCTTTTCACGGCCCTCCGTTCGGGAGCAGAACACCAGCTTCGTCGTGTCAATTCCACCGAATAAGTCAAGAGCAGGTCCAGGTTCCTGGTTCTTCGGAACTCGTGACCGAACTTGATCCCCCTGGTTTGATGTGGGTTCCTTCACCAACAGTCCAGGCCCTTCCAAGTTCGGTCACTTGGAAGAAGCTGCTTGATCCAAAAGACATGGATCACTTCGTCTCACTTCGTCACTTCGTCCCGACCCTTCAACCGTGCCGAACGTCCAAACGAAGCGGTGAAAACCAACGCGACGGGAGACCCGAAGCGATGACGACTCCGTCGACGCTTTACCGGTCTGTCGGTGTCGTGGCGCGGAACAACACCGACGGACGACACCACCGGCGGCGTGGAGACCACGTCGCTGTACGGCGCGGAGGGTGCGCGGAAGCCGAAGGTGGGGGTCCGAGCTCATAATGAAGGCCATCTCACTGATGCCACACAAGTACTCCTTGAAATCCTCCGTGCTGCGCCTCGCAGCAACGCTGTGCACCATGAGTCTCATGTTGTGATGAACTCTGGCAGTAAAAACGTTGAGCATCATTCAAAACATTTCAAAACAATTGATTCATGTCCTTGGCTGCTCCTAGTAGTTGACAGGGAAAAGAACAAGAACATGCCGCCTTCTTCAGTCAGTGTTTCAACTTGGAAGTCCCAGCCAGTGACCTGTATTCCCAGGGACCTGTGCGTTTTGCTCACCAACATCAAACCAAAGACAGAGATCAAGTTCGGTCACGAGTTCGGAAGAACCAAATGGAGGGCCTTCCAAAAAAGGTTCTCTCTACTAGATCACCCACGGACCCAAGTACGGGAGAGGCCAAAAGCCCGGGGCCATGAGGTCCGGCCAGCTTTCGTGTTCAGAGGGCCCGGGCACGGCTGGTGTAAACCATGCCAAGAACTTCCCGACCTGGGAGCTGGATCAAAAGAAACGACACAGACAAAGGGCCCCCACTCGTTTTGAGGGTCGTTTTTGTGGGGGTCCCACCAGATGGATTGGCTCAAGGATAGGGAACTAGCCTGGAGATAGGCTGGAGACACCTGAAGGAGATGACTCTCTTAAGCACCAAGCAATGCACCAGATATCGACTCCCCAGCTTCAATGCTGAAGAGCAACGGCACATGGATAGCTGACTCTCAAAGAGATGACTGCACATGTTGGTTGATGCAACTGTTTAAACAACATTATTCTTCTGGACTGTTGTTCTCCCCTGGGTCTTTCGTTCGCAAGAATTCATAAACATTTATGACCAAACAGAACCATAAAGGGCAACCTCTTTTTTCACCCTTGAACCCTTTTTTCACCCCGCCTTTTTTCCACCCTCAACCTTTCTTTTTCGAACCTTCTTTTGCTCACCCTCTACCCTTTATTTTTTGACCCTCTATATACCCTTTCTTTTTCACCTCTTTCCTTTGGTTGGTGTGTTGGTTGGTTGGCTAGCTTGATGTTGATTGATTGCATGATACAGTGATTGATGGATCATGTTAGCAAAAAGTTCGGGTCAGACTCGGCCATCTCTTGGGGCTGCAGTTTTACCTTCGTTTCCAGGGTGCATCCGGTGAAATGTACAGATCATGTACAGATCACCTTTTTCCATGTGTTCCATCTTTCATGGAGAACCACTCCCCCAAAAAGGTTCAAGGTCATCCACATGTTCGGTAGGGCCGGTAGGGAATACAACCAAGGTAAGTCCCCCAACTACATGACCCTCTCTCGGGGGGGGGTGGTGAAACACCAATGACCGACTGGGCAGGTGTCTTCACTGCACAGCGATGCCCTTTTCGACGTGTCTCAAAAGGGCGTTTTTTCGCCTTCCACGGCCGTCTCCGCCTTCGAAAATGCCATCGAAGAGCAAACAACAAAAGCTCGGCCGATCGTGCGAAAGCGAATCATGTGAATCACCGGTGAATCACCTGACATGTTTTTTCCAGTGGACGATCCTGGTTCATCCACTTTTGAGGCACATGTGTGGTTGAGCTGTTCCTTATGTTCAAGAACTGCCTGCTAAGTCGAGAACCTACTTTTTTCCAGGTCAAGATCGTAAAACCTGGTTTTTCTTCATGATTGCAAAAAAACCTGGTTTTTTCTAAAAAACCTGGTTTTTTTGTGAAGATGGGATTTGAAGGTCTGGATGTCCAGGCCTACCCAGCAAATGATGGCTGTATCCCACTTTCAGCCCATCTTTGAAGTCTCCGGGCTCAGGCCATGGAAAGATGTTGTTGAGAAATGATCGCAACATCATGACACCACAGACTCAGACTCAAGCTGTCACAAAGAAGTCGACCTATATAAAATATGACTTGTGAGTCTGAACACGCTTACCGCCTGATGGAATGGGTGATGGCCGACTGATCCAGCCCCAAGCCAGGCACTCAGCTTTTTTTTCCAAGACAGCCAGTGATCGCATCAAGTCCTGCGCAGCGGAGGCACTGTTTGGGCTGAAAGGGTTTTTGGCTCGAGTTGCAAGTTGGGTTTGAGACCCATTTTGACCCAGTTGTCCAACATGGAGGTGGGTGGACTGAGCACTGAGTGGGAGGAGTCTACGTTGACCCGTGCCCGGGTTCGTGAGCAAAGTACCTTGCTTGTGAAGGACCCCGCGAAAACATGGGTTGAGCCAACCAGGGCCAATGCTTGTGCCAACAGCTCGGTTTTGATCCCGTGCCTGCATCGCATGCGTTCGTCTCCGAACAAAAGTCTTCCTTTTCTTCCAGCTTTGCAAACGGAAATTGCAAAGTTCTTTGAGATTTGTGGCGTCGAGCCACAAGAGAGGCAGGTTTGGCGTCACGGTGTGGAGATCAAGAAGCTGCTTGGGCTAGTCAAGCGCAAAGTGAACCGGAAAGAATACACCAAGGATATGGAATTTGAAAATTGGTTTGAACTTGTTCGAAAATGTTATATGATCATGGTTTTGTTTCTAGATCACGCACGGCTGTTTTGAACATTTTCCATGTGAAGGACTCTCGCTTTCACCCACTGATGTTGGCCTTGGACCCGTCGTTGGAGGCAAGACTGCGTGACTGCGTGGGGAAACAATAGCCATGTTTCAAAGTCATATGGAACTCCACGGGCCTCTTTACAGCATATGGACTTTAGCTGACCCTGGTTAGGTGGCCATCAAAGAGCACATGCAGAACATCAGCATGAAGGGGCTGAACAAACTGCACTCCATGGAGCCTGATGTGGCTGAGGATGATTTGGGTGAGGAGTTGGACGAAGACAGCAGGCTCGATTTTGATGAGTTCAAAACTTGGCTCGATGGCAAGAACAGCGCTCCCGCTCCTGGCCCGGCACCAGAATCGCCGCAGCCACCAGCACCCTCATCGACAATTCCTGGGGCGGCTGCAGCGAGTTGCCCCACAGAAGTCCGTGGGGGCCATGCTGAGGAGAAAGCAAGTTCTTCAAGTGGTGTGGGCACAACTGGCACCGGAGTTTCAAAAGCTCTGTCTGGCCACTTGCCATATCAACAACGCAAACCTTTTTGGGTATAGTTTATTTTTTGGGGGGTTGGCACTCTTGGGATGGCATCCATGTTGAGGTCCCCTAAGTTGTAGAAACTGTCCAGTCCAGGTGACGCCACTGCCATCGAGGAGCTCAAAAAGCGCATTGCCGAGAAGAAGCGTCTTCTTTCGCAGCAGGTGGAGACCCAGCTGCTGTTCCTTGGCTTCTCACGGCGCAAGGATTTGAACTAGTTTGTTTTCTATTTGTGTTCCAAAGAACCCTCTAAAAAACCACGGGGCCACGGAAAAACAGTAAGCCTCTGCAATCAAGTTTGATCAACCCCTATAGGCAAGTGGGCCAGAAGGAGAGCTTGGCTGCACGTGACCCTGTTCCGCGTCTGACTCTTCCGCCTGCAGGAACGGTTTTGCAAAATGATGTTGAGAGTATGAGTGCATCGATCACAAACGTTTTTGAATTGATAAACGCCATTTCGGTTATGACAAAAATGTTCTCACTGTGTTGGTGTCCCACATGGTCATGGTCGCAGGACACGTGCGTGATACGGACGAGACACAGCCCATGAACTCGGACACTGCGGAGTCTCAGCCGGATGACTTCTATGACCACATCCATGGCAGGAAGATACTTGCATTGCCGCCTGTTCCAAAGTTTGAGGAACCCTCCTTGGTGCCTGGGCCTTTGCACCGTTCTGAGGGCAATCCCAAGGTTGAGAAGAATGCGCCGCAGAAGCCTTCTCAGGCGTCTTTGGGATTAGTTTTGAGTGGGGATTGAACAGGGGTTGATCCGTTTTGTTTGATGTTCTCTGGGCTGTGGTTGATACAATCAACCACCGACTAAAGACTGCGCATGTTGTTGTAGGATGAATGGGCTCGCTTCACAGAGCTGGCGCCGGTGCTTACCCGCAAAGACCAATTGGAGCTGAAGAAGGGCATTCCCGAGGAAGGCAGCTGCTGTGAAGAACTCGCTGAGCTTGCCGAGAAGGAGAAGCCCAAGAAGAGGAGCAGGGCGAAGGCTGGCGCCAAGACCAAGCCAGGCCCAAAGAAGCTGCAGTTGTCGCCAAAGATGAAGCTGTCACCATTGGCCCGGGCGACAAAGCTGAAGATGCAGGACACCCGCTACTATGAACCTCGAGGATCTCAAGAGCCAGAGTTTGAGGAAATTGGCTCCAAGCGTGGACGTGGTCATGGACGTGGCCGGGGCCGCAGCCAGACCAAGCGCCAGGCTAGGAAAGGCAGTGATGCCGTGGAGGCCTCAAGCCCTGAAGAGGTGGACCATCACGACCCTGTCCGGAGAAGGCTCTTTGTGGAGGAAGGTGAGGGGGATCCCATGGCTGAGCACCCTCACCACATCCTTGATCCGCTTGTGGCCAAGATGAAGGCAAAGGAGGCGAAGGCCAAAGCCGCCAAGCCGCGTGCAAAGGCAAAGGCAAAGGCCGAAGCATCCGCAGCCTCGGGATCCACGCGGCAGAAGAGAGTCCGCAATGCTTCTGCTGAAGCAAGGCCGAAGGCTCAGGCCAAGAGGGCCAGCTCGAGACCACAGAGGGTGGATGATGCAGTCACTCAGGAACACCTGAGGGACGAAGGCATTTTGCGAGACTTTGCAGGGAGGCTGAAGTCGGAAGCTGCTGACCCTTCGGTTCCCTTGGAAGATCTGAAGGTGATGTTGGCATCTGACCTGAAATGGTTTCCTCGAACTCGAGTCATGCCCTATTGGAACAGGCCTGCCGCAGCCGTGAAGTGGGTCGCAGACGGAGATTCGAGGCAAATCGCCTACTTTCCTGAAATCGGTCAGACCGAGAAGGGCAAGGAGCTCAACAGGCGTTTGATTGTCCAGATCTTCGCTGCCCGACTGTTTGTGGCTTTGGCTTGACCAGCTTTGAAACCTTTTTTGTTTTGGTGGTCATAGGATTGGGGTTGTGGCGGTTCATAAGATTAAGTTGCAAGTGCTGACATCCCATTCAAGGCGTGCTGGGTCGATACGAATGGCATCGATGGCCAAAGGAATCCGAGCCCACTGCAGCCTTTCCATGAAGTTTTGGCCAGGATCAAGTACAATGCTTTGCTAGCTTTGGACATGGCTGTCTAGATGGCTGACGGCCGAGAAATGTTGTTCTATAGGTTACAGGCCCCATCGTTTCAGACCTTATACGTTCCACAGTCTATATACATGGTTAGGGCCGTCATGCCAAGCAAGCGTGTCGCCAGCTCATTGTGTTGAGCTCAACTTTCAAAAGTGTTTGGGGGACAGTGCATGGGGATGTCCTCATGCGAAGTCTGTAGAGGACTGTCTAGGGGATGGAAAAGGTGTTCTGCTTGCATGCGCGGTGCGTGAGGGCCAGGTGTCGCATTTCATTTGCCTGACATGTTTGCTTTCGTTCGTAGTCCACGGGGCTGCACCTGTTTCGTTTGCCAATGTTTGCCAACATGAAGCCTGTCTGCCTAGGTCAATGCCGTCTTTGCGGGGATGCAAAGCGCTCATGAAAGCAGGCTTCATCGAGGACAATCGTGGGCCGGGCACGCTTGATTTGAAGTTCTTGCCCATGCCTATCACTGTTTCGCGGTGCCATGACATTTTTTGCACTGTGTAATGCTCAATTGGCTCAGAAGCTGCAGCCCTATATGCCACAGGTCAAAATCAGCGATTGTATACATTGCAATTAATACGATTTGCGATGATTTGCGCTTTGATAGTTGTCGAAGTTCGGACCCGTGAGATTTCACCGGTGACCTGTTGCCATGGGGTCGTTCAACCCTCAATCCACACCAGCACTTGTGTGGAAGCTGCAAAAACTTGGAGCCCCAAAAGCAACCCAGCTTATAGTTCCGTTTGAAAGGAGCATGGGGTTTTAGGGCTGATGACACTGGGGGCTGCTGAGGCATTTGTCTTCGCTGTTCTCATGGTGATTTGGTCTCAGCGAGGCCTTGAAGAGAAAGCCAACTTGGGGAAGGACCGCGCGTGCGCACATGGCCCAGAAAATAAGGTCAGGTCAACATACCACTTGAAACAAATTGGACCAACTCATGCATATCAGCCAACTACCCACCTTCACCATCCCGAGCTGCCAACCCAGCTTCACCATCCCGAGCTGCGCATATCTCCAAGCCGCCAGGACACGACCCTGGAGTGGATAGAATTCTTTGCAGGCCGTGCGGAAGCGACTCGCATGATTCAGTATGCAGGCTACTCTGTAGCAAAGCTAGACCTCAACTATGCACACGATAAAGCTGATGCAGCTCTACGTTCAAAGAAGTTCTCAACAAGGCATACAAAAAAGTGTGTCATGGATCTTTGCTCTCCAGAGGGTTTAGCGTGGCTCGTATGCAAATTCATGCATTAGTGGTGTGATTGGAACTGTATATGAAATAAACCATACTTCTCCTGGCTGCCCAGGTTCGCCATCCTAGTACTCTTGTATGGCGACAACGATGCGGGGTTCTGGGCGCATTTTGGTATGAAGTGTTCATCCTGGACCCCGGTAAACTGTGCCACATCTTCACGCGCACCTTGCTCGTCCATAGGCAACACCGACTACCCAAGTGTGCAGCAAGGAAATCTACTTGCTTCACGGTGCCGGGGAGCTCCAACATTCAATCCATTGAGCCGATGTTTTTTATTTTGGCACGGGGGCATCGAAGAGGTTTTTGTCTGTTCAAACGTGTCTGGAACTGGCTTTCCCTGCAGGGTGGTACTGCTATGTATGCTCGTGGTTTGTCTCAATGGGACGTTCACTATAGAGCAGCCCAAGCAATCCTTCTTCGAGTTTTTTCCCAGGTGGAGGGACTTCTTGGAGAAACTTCGAGCGGCCCACGACCAAGTCGATGTTGTCGGGGATCCCAACCGTTGAGCCCAGGTGCTCTGCTTGTCGTTGGTCTTGGGTCTGGAGAAGCCTTAGATTTACAATGTTACCAGCTGGACATAGACATATCGCCCTGATGTTTGCAGGCTAACTAAAGATCAAAGCAACCCCCCTCTCGCCCTCGACGTCCGCTGGGGTTTGATTTGAGAGCTTCCCAAATAATTAGATCGTCTGTCTATATTCTGAGATGTAGCGGCTTGGATTCTTTTCAATTCCCTTTCCAACTTTTGCAATTTAGTCAATTTATGAGCCACGCCCGCGATAGGTGTCCCAAGGATCCTTGCCGCACCTTTCGTTTGGTCGCGTCCAGGTCACCAAGTGCACTTGGTACATGTTGGCGTATGGGGGGCCTACACCAAAGCCCCACTATGCTCTGTCGAACAGCAAGCACATCTCGAAGCTTTGGACCGGGAAGCTGAGAGGATGGGCCAAGGCTGTTAGGGAGGACCCAACCAAAAAGTCCAAGACTGTGATCAAATACCAAGACTCCAATGGCAAACATCGTTGGAAAGGTTCAGCCAAACTTCGTCAGTCAGAGACCTGCACTTAGTTTTTGGAAGTCCCTCCTGAAAGAAGTCCTCTTGCCAACGCTGGAACTGTTATATATACCTATACCCATCCTCCCACATGTCCACGATGGTTGGTTTGGCTGCTAAGGGAATACCCACCACGATTTGGATTGGGGCTGGTGAGCATCTATCTGGACTTAGTCAATGAGAAGATTGGACCACCACCGCTTCCTGCAAGCATCCCTTCAGCTGAAGACACTTTCCAGGCAATGGTCTTCGATGACCTTTGGGCTGAGGCAGATCTACAAGCAGTCTGCCACTATTTGAGGGGTGGGACCGGCCTTGTTATCCCACCTTCTTTCAGGCCTTTGCTCCCCAGGAGGCTGTAAAGCCTTGAAAAGCAACCCCTGAGGGTCTGGTTAGTTGGAACGGGGTTGAAGAGTGAAGGACCTATGAGGGATCCAAGACAACTTTAGTGACTTTCAACCCGTATTTTCAAGATTTCCCGTAAAGCACCGTAATCTTCCCGTAAACCTACCCAAAAAACCCGTAAAAAAAACACAGGATTTTTGAACCCGTACTGAACCCGTACATAACCCATAAAAATCCGTACAGAACCCGTAAAATTTTATGGGTTTTAAGGCCGTACTAGGCCGTAATCCATGATGAGATTCAAGATGGTTCTTGTTAGGTTTCAACCTCATTTTTCCAATGTCGTCGTGAAGGAATGGGGGATCTGCTGAAGATTTGGGAGCTCAGGGTGGAAATTAAACCGCCAATTCGGAGACACCTCATTGATTACAATGAGGATTTGGTGCGCAAAAGGAAAACAGTTGTGAGTTTCAACCGCTGGACAACGGAAAAGCCCTTTGGCATGACCCTTTCTAAAGGCACAAACGTTTTTTTGGTTCAACTTTGCAGCATTGGGCTTGGAGAGGGTCAAAACACAGGTGTCCAATTGCGGTATCCGGCATGTCGATTGCTAAATCGGACACTCTTGCTACCCTTAAGAGTGCACGCTGGAGCACGACTGAACTTTCAGACGGACTTGCTCACCTTCTGGTGGATATGCAAGGGGAGTTGCCAAACGATTTGGCATTGCTTACTGAATCTCAGCGGCGTAAGGGGTGGGTGGATGAATACTCAGAGGGTAGCCGTATATATATACCCTTTCCAATGTAAGGAGCTGGAAGGCCATTTGGCAGACCTTGAGGCGAAGCAATCTATCGCTTTGAACTTAGCATGACTGCAAAAAAACATTTGGTGTTGGAATCTTTCTTCCAGCGGGCACCAACAAGGTCAAGGCCACCGCAGAGCTTGAGGAAGCGGAGGTTCAGGAGATCCAGGACAAAATTGATTCTCGAATGCCGGAGCAAATGATTCAGACCGTCGCTACTTTGCTATTATCATGGATATGCTAGAGGTGTGGGAGGTACCTATTTATATATATAGAGCGTCGATGAAAACAACTGAGGCTACTCCGCAGCAGGCCGCACATGTGCCTACAATTTTGATTCCTGATACTGCTGAGACTCTTCCTGAAACCGTCTCCCAGCCAAGCACGCCAGCGCCCCCAAGTCCTACCCCAACATCGGCCGGCTGTTCCGAACAGTCTGTGTTCTAGCTGCTATATAGTTTGTTTTTTTGCTGAAAGCTTCACTCAGAACATATCCATGTTGTGATGGAGAGTGGGCGAGCTAAGTCGATGGTGACCCAAGTGGTTGAGCTCTTCAAGTCTGGACAAATGGATGCCATGACGGCCATGCAACTGTTGGGAGGCCTTGCCAGGCCTTCTGAGGTCGCACCTTCTTCGGCCGCCCCAGCTTCACCCGCCCCTGGAGTGGCTCTAGGAGGGTTGAAGCGCCCAGCGGATGGTGAAGTTACAGAGCAGCCCTCCAATGTAGCGAAGACTGAAACAAAGTAGCACTCAGTGAGTTGTAAGCTGCAAGCCTTAAGATGTCTCTTGGACTCATGCCTCTCCAAGGATGAGGCCCAGCACATGGCCAAGCTCAAAGCACGTCTTCGCAGATTGTGTGAAGAAAAGGCCCATGGTCGTTTGCAGGTGCCAAAGTGGTTGCATGATGCATGGATGACTGGGGACAAGGCAAAGCTTGCCAAACAGTTGGAATCATGTGACTTCGATAAGGACATGGTTGGGGGGAAGTGGTCGGTGACCCCCAACCAATCGATGGCGAGTTGGAGTTGGGGAAAACGCAAATCCAATCCCACAACGTCCTAAAGAACATGACAGGTTATCCCCATGTTCCCGTGTACAATGGGTATGGGGTCGAGGTGGTCCTTGATTGATGTTCATCGCACCCTTCTTCTGTTTGGCAGGCCGACCAGTTTCTCAGCATGTCTGAAATGAATCTCTCGCAGACCCCTGTCTGAAATGCAGGACACGTTCATCCGGACTGTTGAGAAGACCCACGGCGTCAAGGATTCCAAGAAATGTAAGATTGACGAAGGTTGGTATTCCCGCGATGAGATGCTGAAGGTTCTTCAGTGGCCACAGACTCTTGACCCACATCCGTTTCCATGTTCTATAGTTAAAAAACGAACCACTCCAAAGAGCCGCTCCCATAACTGCCCCCAAAACGGAGCCGTGCCAGAGCCCAGGAAGAAGGTGGACGGAGCCATCCGCGTTTGCCGTGCTGACCCTTCTTTGTGTCGGTTCTATGCTTGAACATGAAATATTGAAAGTGACCATTGATAACCATTGCATGCAGCCAACTGCCTGCCATCCCAGGCAAAACAAATATGGAGGTGAAGAAGAGTTTTGGGTCAGTGTCCGTGAAACCGGAAGCCGTGAACAGGAAGAGTACGAGGAGAAGAAGAGGATCCATCGGGGTGAGGACTCTTCTTTCGATTCTATTTATTGTTTGATCATTGAAGCCACTCTTCCCGACTTTTCCAGAAAAAAAGGATTGCAAAGTGTAGAGCCATGAATTTATGTTCTTCAGGACACGGAAACGGCAGAAATCGACCCAAACCGGCGACACATCTCTGAGATGGACTGTCGGATGAATGCTGCTGTGGCTGCCCCGACCGTCGACGCTGCGCAGGCAAGCCAAGTGACCAGCTCGTGAGTGCATAGTCTCCATCCCAGCTCCACTCACCTTTGCCAGGGAAATCGTGGGAGGGAGACCTTCAAGAAGTTCAATGACTCTGTCCTTCAGAAGAGCGCCAAGATCCGTCAGTTGATTTCCGATCTCAAACGCAACTACGATGACCCATTGGCTTCAAAGCCATTCCCTCAAACCTGAAGCACCTTGTGAGAGAAAAAACACGCTATAGGAAACTGTCGATGTTTATTTAACATCAACGTCCAAACGTCAGCGGCCAGACGGCCTGAGGTCGATCGCCACATTGGAGAAGGACCTGGAAACCTTGGACGGTGTGTACACAAAGTGCAGTCAGGTGTGGGCAGAAGGGGAGCAATCCGAATGGAACCGAGAGCAGCCCGACAGAATTCCAAGTTGTTTTGTTTTATATGTCTTATAACGCAAGAGTTCTCAACTGAACCACGTGATAAGACTGCTCTTTCAGCTATCCCAGGTCTGTGACCAAAGCTGAGAAAACTATGAAGTCTTCTACTTTTGAGCCCCCTGGCTTGCAGAAAGAGTTGATGAACAAATCTCTATCGTGACTGTAAATCTTTCGCACTGTTTCGTTTCGACTCAATGTTCAACCAGGTGCACGCAAGTTTCCCAGAATGAGGCCAAGGTGCGGTCTGGTACTCAGCGGATGGACAACATCTTCCTGCGGCAGTTGATCAGCTCACGTATATACATATATACAACTGTAAACCCATTTCTGCCAACTCCATGGTTGGACTCAGGAGTGCCAAGCGCCACTTCACTAAAGTGAAGAAGGAGGGCGATGATTAGGTGATTGCGATCCTTTGGTGATCCAGTTTTTGGCTGCTGTGTGCTAACACGGCTTGCGGCAATTTGATGGACCTTCTAGCTCGATCTATAGGTTTGCATCCACGGCTTTGTGCTGGGACACTCCACGGGGTACTTTGCATGCGACTGCGCCCATGATGCAACTAACTTAAAAAATATAGACCCAGGCGCAGTGAAGCAAAGATTTGGAGGACCCAGTACGCATGGATGCTACGTAGTGCAGCTCGCAATTTGGGGCTAGATGGATGTGAAAAAATGAGTCTATGGCTAGCGCTACTTATAGGTGTCTCCAGTTTGCTTTCACTGACAGCACCGCTCTCATTGGCACCCTCGCCAGGTCCTGGTCCCACGGCCAAAGCCTTTGCGGCCAATGTCGGAGAAGGAGCCCGCTGCTCAGAACGGCGAGGCCGCCATGCATCTACCGATCCAATGCGACCGTGAGTATAGAATGTTGCTTGGGATTGAAACCATATACCTTCAACATCCTAAAATGGGAGGTGAACATGTTTTGATGGGCTTGCTTTTTGCATGGAATCGCTATTCCACCTGTCAGACTCCCTCTCTCTCTCTCTCTCTCTCCCTTTCGCCAACCAAGAAGGGACCAGGGCTGGGTTTAGCGGGTCACTGCAAGATTTCCAGGAAATTGCAAGGGGCTACTTTTGGCTCACTCACTCCGTCTGATGTAAAGCCATCCCAATTCAACACCTTTTTGATAATTGTGTGCATGAAGGAGGGCTGCAGTCCAGCCACTACAGCCTTGAAAAAATCGGTATACCTGTTACCTGTTTGAGTGAACTAGAACTTTCCCTGTCGTATATGCATCCTTTGTGTCACATCCTTTTGATACAAATGTTCTCCAGCAGAGCAACACAAGAAACATATCACATGACGCGTTCAACTCTGAACATAGCTTGGTTATTGCTCTTTGCCCTGTTGCCAAGGCAAGCTGCCGCTCACAGATCAGAACTGCCAGAGCAGTTGCAGAAGAGCTTGGACCAGGGAAGTCAGCTTCCGGCGGAGTTGATGCATGGGCCAAAATTTGCTTGAACAATTCTGAGAGAGATTGCTCCAAGGTCGTGTTGAAACAACGGAGTAGGCTGAATGTGCCAATGTCATACTTGCAAATTCATGGCCGGGAGCTTCCGTGGATCCGCCCAAAAGATTGGATCCAATACATCATAGACAGTGATCTTTGGCACCACTTAGCTGGGCTGGATGATGCACACCGCCACCAAGCTGGAGAGGTTTGGCGATCTTTCTGGGACAAAATTGAGGCTATGCATCCTGAGCTGGACATCTTCAATGAAGAGTTCCATTTAGACCGGGAGAACACAGCAGGGATCTACGTGCATGGAGATGAAGGCAGGTCCTTGAAAAATCGGCCGTGATGGTGACATCGTTGCAATCGTGCTTAGGCATCGGCTTCAGTGACAAACTACGCGGCTGCAAGCGGAAGGTTGATGGAACGATCAAGCACGAGATAAACTACAGAGGGCACACCTACACTACGCGGTTTGTCAGCTCAATCATTCCAAAGCGGTTTTACGAGTCAGATCCCGATTTCTATCACAAAGTGATGGAGTCTACCGTGCACAGCCTTTTGGATCTTTTCCGCACAGGGGTCTTTGACAAGAAAGGCAACTGCCGCAAGATTTGCGTGCTAGGGGTCAAGGGCGACTGGCCCTACCTAGCCAAGGTGGGTCGCTTTCAGAGACATTTCTCCACTGGCGCAAAGAGAGGAGTGGAGCGCAATGCTCCCAAGGGCAAATGCCACCTTTGCCTAGCAGGCTGCCGTGGCTTCCCTTACGAGGATCTGGTGAACTCGAGCGCGGCCTGGAGACAGACGATCGGCATCATGCCCCCTTGGTCACAGGCGCCCTGCTTTATGAAGTTGCCTCACAACCCGGCCCATGAGGCCAGCTTCTTTCAAGCTGATTTGTGGCACACGGTGCACTTGGGCATCGGCAAGTCGTGGGTATGTTCCACACTTCTACTTGCTGTGCACTTGGGCTTGGTTCCCGGAACCAACATGGATGCAAGGATGGAGGCGCTGACTCGGAGCTACCGGGCGTACTGCCGAAGTGCCCGCGTGCAACCCATTGTGACCAAGTTCACAACCACCCTGCTCAGCTTCACGGACCCCAAAGGTCCGGTAGGGGCGTGGCACAAAGGAGCATTGACCTGTAACTTGCTGAAGTGGCTGGGCGAGTGGCTTGCAGACCTTCAACCAGCACATGGTGACCTTTTGCACCATGCCCTGCAGGGAACGAATCAGCTGAACAAACTGCTCAGCTACTTGTATCGAAGCCCGTTCTTTTTGAGCAAAAACGATTGTGACTACGTTGTTTCGTTGGGGCAAGGCTGGTTGATTGAGTACCGCCGGCTGGCAAAGGAGTCTTATGACCGAAAGCTCAACCTCTGGCCGCTTTTTCCAAAGCTTCATGGCATGGAGGAAATGATGCTGGCGCTTCAAAAGACTTCTGTGAACTCTGGCATAGGGATCAATTGCTTGGCAGTGGCATGCCAGCAGGATGAAGATTGTATTGGCAAGACAGCGCGGCTTTCCCGAAGGGTAAGCGCCCGGAGAGTAGTAATTCGTTCTTTTGAGCGGTATTTGACTCAAGCTCGTGTAGCTTGGACACGTGCTGGCCTAATTAGGTAGCTTCCTGTGCACTCACCTACCATGTTCTTGATTTAAGTGTTCTAGGGCTTAACCGCTTTTGTGGAAACCACCTAATACACGATAATGAAACTTACTTAATTGTTTCTAAAGGAAACGCTGATAACCAGGGTGAGTTTCTAGCTTTGACACCTGCGGTGCTGATGTGGCATCGATTCTCGGAGAACAAGAAGGCGGGCGGAGGCGCGCTGCGTGGCTTGGGTGGGTTTGTGGGGTGTCCACTTCCTGTCTATTGGGCTCTCACAAATCCATGAAATCAGAAACCTGGTTTTTTTATAAAAACCAGGTTATTTTCCTGGGACCACGAAAATGCAGGAAGTTGATGCCGCAGGTGGTTTAAAATCGTTTAAGGATGTTTTAAGGGACAATCTACTGGAAGCATTGTTTTCACACCTCAAAACTATGGGTTTCCAATAGATTCTCCCTTCAACCAATTCTGGGATTGTAACCACTCTACCAGCTTCACACGGTGCTGCCACTTCACACGTCAGCCTACAGCGATCCTCGACGCAACACGCCACGACGCAACGAACGCCCGTCGTCGAGTCGTGGCTGAGGCATTGGACCCGTCGTCCTTTCGTGCCCGGCACGAGCTTGAGGATGGCACCCTAGCGCCGCTCAGGGCCACGGACCAAGGGCCCCCCTGCTGAAGTGAAAAGTGTCCATCCGGGGTGGCGAAGTGACCTCCAACCTATAAGAGCGATGGTCTCTACTGGCCGAGAAGACCGGTATTTGGGAAAGAATGACATGCCACAACAAGGTGATGTAGACTTTTGAGCCCTTTAAGAGTCTACGTTTCATGTTGCATCGAAGAATTGACAGGCAGCACCTCACAGCACCTGAAGAAGTTTCCCGGTCGTGAGTGAGTTTATATCACACATGCCCCGGCTGCCCACGAAGACCGGAATTATGTCTGTCGGAGGACTGATCACAAAACCTCTCACAAATATGGGAGGGACTGCTCATGAGCTCGAGGGTCCTTCTAGACGCTTGGTGTCTTAAAGCAACATCCAAGATCAATATGAAAGAACATCTGTGGGGTGGTTTGAGGGGACACCGTCTCACAGCCCCCCGGGAATGCCTGGAACATGACAACCACTGGTTTGTGGAGGAAGCTAGTCTTCCAAAGATCCCTTGTCAGGTTCCATGTTAATCTTTCCAGGTGCAATTATTCTGACACAGTCTGACCACCTTCCACAAAGAAAGTTAATATTACATTGTATGCCACCATGTCAGTCACATTGAGGATTATATTATAATCTTCTGACACCTTCCAATCCATGTCTAGAGGAACCAGTCATACCGATACTCATCGAGAACGCGCTTTCTCCTCCAGCAAAGCTGTGGGAGATGGAGTGAAAGCTTAGGAGCTGTGGGGTGGCAATAAGCCACCACGCACAAGAACATGCACCCTTCACCATCATTCAAGAAAACCAATCTTCTAGCAGCGTATTAGCTTGGACGGCGATGTGAGTCTTTTGAGATGGGCTACGCTTTTGTGGAGGATAAGGAACAAAGGCACCAGCAGCAGTTCAAGAATCCATCAAAGGGTATTAGATTCCCTCCAGCCAAGGTTATACTACCATATGTTATACCCTTTCAGAACCAACCCCTAAAGGCAATGTGTGTTTATCATGTTGGTCCCACCACCTGCAACGCTGCTCTGATCTTCCAGCAGACAGAAACCTCCAATCAATCCATCGAATCGATGGGCCCCTGGGTCGTCGGTTGTTCCGGATGGGTCGGAGATCCGACCCACCGAGCTAGGTGCCCCTTTAGGCCCTAAACCCTAAACCCGTGTCGACACCCGTGTCGACCCCCACGGATCAACCTCCACGTCTCGTACCACTGACCCGTGTCGACCCCCGGAGGAAAACCTCCAAAGCTCGAAGGTGTCGACCCGTGCTCACTCTGGGCGCCCTGACCCTGCTGACGTTCACTTGCCAAACACCCGTGTCAATCTGACAGACCGTCGGATGCGGAGCTGCGGAACGTAGATGCTGCTGGATTTCCACATGCGCATGCGGGAGAGTGAGGAGAGTTTTTTGGGTGTTTGGGACATCTTTGGTTTACCATGTTTCAATGGGCGATCTTTTTCGAAACGACACGAAATGGCTGAGACTGATAGAGACTGATCTTCCAGATGGAAAATAGGGAGTCACTGTTCCACGTCACCTTCGGTTCACGGCGGTTCGCTGGATCTGGTTGATCCTTCTGTTTTGGATGAGGGGGCATGACAGGTCCTCACTTGCAAACTTGTTCGATCTGCGATCCAGAACTGCTGACGTGACTGAAGAGTCCTTTCACACGGATGGCGCCATGACAGGTCCGAATGGCGCCCAGAACATTGAATTTGATGATCTGTTGACCAGAACTCTTCCGCTCCCACGCCAACGGATCACCCGTCTTCGGATCACTTGACGGACACCGGTCGGCACGCAGAGGTGTCGGGGCGAGCTCCGCGCCGTGTAGTAGGGCGAGATCCGCAGGGCCCAGCCTGGTGCCACGCGCCGTGGGGAAGCACCGCGGCGACAAGGAGGACCAGCGGGGAGTTGGAGGACCGGTTTTCTGGACAAATCATGGCTGACGGGGGAGCGAAAGGACCAGCTGAAGGTTTGATATTCAGGTCCATGATCCATGGTCATCCCATGTTCGGAGGAGTTTGCGTGGCATCTACGTCACCATGATCTTCCAAGATGACTTCAGGGAGTGTACGTCCCAGTCATCTTGAGCGCCAGCTGTGGCGCGCCCAAAGGGCTCTGGGCGTCAAAAAGAGCGGTTCATGCTCCATGTTTACCATCCCCATGTGGATCCAATTGGTGGTTCGGTACAAACCAATCTGGGGGATGGATGCTTGGTATGTGGGATCATGTGGGTAGTGGTTTCCTCACCACCAAGTGCTGCCTGTGCCAGGTTGTCCAAATTGTTTTGAATTTTGCGAATCTGTTCAGAGAAGCCATGGCCGCTTCAGTTGTGGGAGAAGTTCCGAATGAGGAGGAAGTTGGAAGCTACTAGGAACAAGAAGCTACTATAGACTTAGGAGCAAAGGGCATTCCTGCTAGGAGCAAGGACGCTACTAGGGGCGCGCGCTCCTGGCATTACTACTGGGAACAGGTTCCAAATGAGCAGAAAACCCATGACGTCCGACCTGCCTCCGCTGGGACGAGGTGCGTGGACGAGCAGCCCGGCAGGAATTGTACTATACAGAACCAGGTCCGGACCCCTGTGAAGGTGTCCATGGCAGGGCCCGTAGATGCTTAGGGATAAAGGTTTTAGTGTTACAACACCAGGTCCGCCATACGATTAATGGTCTTGGAAGGCATCCGAGTATGTGTTTGGCAATCAAGGTGTCACGGTGACACAGGTGGTCGAAGTAGCGGCATCAGCCGTGGGTGATGAATGGTGATCACTGATCGCAGTATTGCATTAAACTGGACTCTCCAAGACATGTCCAACCTTCATCAACACAATCACCAACAACAGACCATTCATATAGAACTACTACTAAGTGCTACATACCAAAGGCATCCAAAGGCCTACAGGGCCTACAAGTCGATTCAGCTCCCTGGGCCCTGGTGCTTCTTTATTGGTGGTATCAACACATCGGCACCTGACTCCATCCGCACCTGACTCCATCCGCACCTGACTCCATCCGCACCGTGCACCGCTCCGTGCACCGCACGGTGCACCGCCCCGCCCCGCCTTTGGGTTGCATCAGTAGTGTGACCCAAAGGATGCTGGTCAAAGCTGGCGCCCGCTCCACGCCACGACACGGCCGACGCTCGACAAACGACACGCGTGGGGGTGGGTGGGAGAACCCCTGCCGGCCGCCGCAGCTTGCGGGCGAAGGACGTGTCGAGTTTCGAATTATATTATGTCACATGCAATACCTGGAAACAGCTTTTTCAGGGTGTCTTACGGTCATGGAACCGTTTATAAGACCAAGCACATGAAATGTTGATAGCGAGCACTTTCACCCAAAGTCTTCAGCAAGCCAAAGGGATAGCTTGGAGGAATCCTTTGCAAATGCTTTCGATGAGTCTGAATGAAAATCACATAGAAAGCTCCCTAACCTTCTGACTGTCAATTCACTTCCAATTGCTGCGCTGCATGTATAATCCAAAGACCGCAAAGTGACAACAAAGATTAATGATTGAAACACTCTTTCGCCAGGAAGGATCAATTCGGAAAGAGAATTCGGTCACACCTGTGATGAAGATCGCAAGGTAGGTGCCCGTCTTTGCTAGGCTGGTCACTGGCATGACGAGAAAGACCTGACCCGCGCGTACCGGGAGGACCGGACAGCTGGGCGTCTGGTCGACTTCGTCGACCGAAACGTTCGACAGGCCGAAGTCACAACCCTCTACCGTCCGCCGGTTTCGGTCCACAGTTTCCTCATCAGACAGTCGCTGGTGGTTTTCGTTCTTAAATTAAGACGGTCTTCATTCTTTCTAGGTAGTTTGGCTATACCTGCAAGGGTACTCATTAAGAGGTGCCCTTACTACTCTGGAACCACCTCAGAGGTGATCATGGACATCCCTAATGAAGACCAAGCCTTCCCAACGGTCGCTTCTTGGACAAGAAGTGAGCGGCCCAACGGGCCCAACGGTGCACCGATCCACCGGATTGGATCCGAAATGGAGACTTCGTCTCCGGTGCACCGATCGACTCATACCGGTCCGGACTCAACTTGTCAATTGGTAAGGCCAGAATCCTTGATTTAAAAAAAGGTCGAAACAGCCGTCAAAAAAAGTTTCGTGGAGAAGTCAAAGTCACAAATCATCAATTTGAAAAGTCCAAAAAAACAAGTCAACCATAGACCACAGCTCGAAAAAGTCTAAAAGAAAGTCAACAAAATGCAAAATAAAACATCAAAATGTCAAAATCAAAACAATTCGAAAAAGTGAAAAAAAAAGTCAAAATGAAGTCAAAAAAAGTCAACCACTCGAAAAAGTCAAAACATGTCAAAAAAAACGAAAAAGAAAAAAACACATAGTAATTATTAAAAAAAAGTCGGATCTGGGCAAATGGACTTTTTTTTGACTTTCTGAAATTTTCTGATTTGACTTTGTGTCGACTTAGACTTTTGGGATTGACTTTTTTTGACTTTCTTTAAATTTAGAAAACAGTCTCTTTCCAATGAAAGTCTTTTAGTTATAATTAGAATGCGTCCATGCTGAAATACCAGAAAAAAGGGCGCACATTCGAAGTTCCAGTCCGTCGGTATGATCATATCATCTTATATATATATATATCTATACTCCTCCTTTTGCTATCTTCTGCATCTACGCTGGAAAACCCGACTCCCAATGGCCCACATTGATCTGGAACAGTTGGCCAGTGGACCCACCCTAGGGATCCGTTTTCGTACCGTACCTCAGGTACGGTGAGGACGGAGACTATTGATGTAGGCGCCATTGGACGACGGGCCCAGTGGTACCGAACCTGAGGTTCGGTGGCAGTGGATCCTTAGGCCTAGTCAATTAAAGACCTCATGAATGCCTGCAGTTGGTCATCTACCATGACTTATGAGGATCCACCCTCATAAGGAGGCAAATCTGACCAGGACTCTCTGCAGGAGACCTGCGGGTCGAGTGAAACAACCACAAACAGGGTCCGGAACTGACCTCATTCTACAAAACGTTGATCCAAAAACACCACTCAATGAGGTTCTCAGGCCCAGGTTTGGACCTGGCTCAGACTGGACTTAGGGAAGGCTTTCATATACCATTACACCTCTTTTCTTCGCGATCCCAAGGCTGCTGCGTCCTTTGCCCGAAAAAAAAAGACACGCCGCCACCTGCTTTCCCTTGGTCAAGCTGCCTGGTTTCCCCCGAAGAGCGCGTGGGGGCAGCGCGGGTTTGCTTAGAACGTAAGCAGACTGCGAGCGGAGCCGAGTGGCGGTGGGAGCCGAAAGAGTCGCGGTCGTGACCTGGAGTCAGGCCCTGGAGGTCCAGTTGAGGTCATGTCGTGGCTGTTTTTTATGGGTCGTCCCATGTGATAATACGGTATGTGCCATGTACAAAGACCGATTCGGAGATGTCAATATGCCAATGGAATATGTCAATCTGTTCAGAATATAGACCAATTGAGACTTGAAAATCGGGTCCAAATAAGATCAACGGTGACCAAAAAGCAGAGACCGAGGGCGGCCCCTGGGCCGCCCTGTGAACTCTGGATACGAGATAAGGTCCTTCCCCCCGATATGAAATCTGCTCAGCAAAGTCATCGAATCTGTTGCCCCACAGTACGTACCCTGCACATGGCCGGGATATACCAGGCTGGCATCAGGCTGGCTTGGAACCTGTTCGCATGAATTCACATCTCTTCGCCGGTTTTCACTGCAATCCTGGCGTGAAGGTTCCCAGCACTTTCCATGCAGCTGCGCAGCTGCTCTGCCCTGCTCTCCTCAAGCAGGGCGAGGAACTCAGCGAGTTGTTCAAACACCCGAAGCTTCTGCTCCACTTCGGCGAGTCACGGAGGAACATGATGACATGCACCTCCGAACTGTCGGTTTCGGAAATGGATCAAAAACAAACATGACAAGGAATCGAGTCGAAGAATGGCGATGAACATCTCGTCTCCATAAAATTCTGGCTGGGAATTGCAGAAAGTCTGCCACATGTTCTCAGTGAGCTGTTCCTGCACCCCTTGGCTCCAGAGCGTTCCGCAACACATGAGCTGGCCTTTTGAGGTACATCACCATAACTCTCTGCTGGAGTTACGCAAGGATGTCCGATAAAAGCAGCACCTTCAAAAATTGATTCACAAGAATATCAACAATTTAATTAGTGAAAATCCATGAACATCCCACGGATATGCTTGTCCCTATACCTATACCCAGAAACAATGACAGCTGAATATGTAAAGCAAGATGGCGAATGGCAATACGGATGGCAAACAACATGGCAACTTTAAGAGAGTAGAGCCGGGCAAACCAATATGATACCGATACCATATATGGCAAAGAACTTGGCGAGTGGTTTGCAAATGGCAACTCGCTTGACAAGCACTTTAGCGAACCACTGGGCGAGTGGCAACGAGCTTGGCAAACAACATTGGCAAATGTGTTTAAGATCAAAAGGTTCGATGTTAGGTGGAGGCCGTCGCTCTTAGCTTGGAGGCCATCGCTAGTAGGTTGAAGGCCATGCTATTAGAAACAAAAAAACAGAAAAGGAAGAAAGGTCTTATAATGTCTTATATAGTTTGCTATTAGGTTGGAATCCATCGCTAGTAGAGTCCCTGAAAGTTTAAGCTCAGAGGCTCCATATTGAAAATGTTTCTAGCAATAGGTTGGACTGTTGCTGCATGTGTGTTAACAGGCTGACACGCCACACAAGGTATACGTAAAACAACAACAACAACAACAACAACAACAACAACAACTACTACTACTACTACTACTACTACTACTACTACTACTACTACTACAGGTACAACAACAACAACAACAACAACAACTACTACTACTACTACTACTACTACTAGTTAGTACTAGTACTAATACAACTACAACAACAACAACTACTACTACTACTGGTTTTCAATCATGCACCTTATTTTTGCAAAGACATAAACATCATAAACATTGCGGGAACGCGCATGGCAAGATTTTTTACGCTGACTGAGTTCGGCCGTTGTTTGGTCCTGCGTCTGAGAGAGAAACTCTCCACACTGTACACACACACCACACATCAAAAACCATCATTGTTCCTTCGCACATGTTTGTCGCCGATCGCCGTCCGGTTTGACACACCATACGCATCGCCATCCGTGTTTTCCACAACTGTTCAAGTGCTTGTCACCAATGTCATTGCCACGTTCGTCGCCATCTCACTTGACACTTGCCATGTTCATCGCCATCGTTATCGCCATATTCTTGGCCATACACCAACCCTGGCGCCACCATATGCCCGTCATGATCGCGTCAAGCAGGACTAGAAACCATAGAAGCACGCGTTTAACAGAAACATGATGTAAATTTGGTTGAACAAACAGCAAACATCGAAGAACCTAAACAGGACCATATAAACCATAAAAGCATGCGTTAAAAACATAATCATGTTTTACATTGTTTTACTCATGTTTTATTGAACGAACATCGAAGAACCGTAACAACACCAAGTGGGAGCGTCATCCGCCCATGTGTTGCGGTCTTTCTGTCCGTGCAAAGTCGAATTCCTGTAGCTCGGCGCCTCTTCCCCAGGCTCCAAACCATAAACCCAAGTGTTCGAGACGTGGCCAAGATGATTTCGGGATGGTGATGGGGTCCGGCGGTAGAGTGCTCGTGTCGTTCTTCATGCTGACCATGGCCACGTGAGAAACACACTTGGCCCATCCCAACAGAGAACACCAGTCGTCACTCATTGGAAGTCGACTCAGAGACTGTTGAATTGTTTTTCCCCTGCCACATGACAAGCAAGGCGGGCAACATGAAATATCAGAAACATTGTTGGCTGGGTCTCAGAATGCACTTTAGTGTGGCACAGCCCAGGAAATAAGTAGTCTGCAGGTGTCCTTCCTAGAGTGAGTGTGAGACGCATACCTGAAGTCTCAAACAAAGTACCTCAGAAAATGGGTACAACATGGTACAAGTACCTGTTTTTTTGTTTCGTTTTTTTTAAATGTTTTATGGGGTCATGTCGGTCATGTCCCATTTTCTGGGGTACTTTGGAAGGTCCAGATAGATCTGCGGCATTCAAATCATGCGCATGGAAGGACGAATTGAGTCCTGTGTAGCGAACAAGGCGAAGCAACTGATGTGAGTTGAGGTGTACCATCCACTCTGCGCTCGTCGGTCTGGGGGCGGGTGAGCGAAAAAGGGCTGTCAGACAGTCAGACAGGTTCAATAGATGAACTTTCTGAAAAGAATCACGGCAGTGGACCGCTCAGTTCAGGAAAAAAGGAGTTCTTCCATCGTTCTCCGGTCTTCTAGGGATGAAAAAGCGTCCATCAAGCGAAAAGCCACATGCAACTGGATGCCTCGGACCTTCGTACCCGGAAATGGGACGATGACTCATGACCCAAAGAGGATGTAGAATCGTAGAGCTGTACCCATTTTCTGCGGTACTTTGCCTAGAAAATGGGACCATGACAGGTACAACCGTACCATTTTCTGAGGTATGAACTGCAGGTCGACTCCAAGGTACCTCCGGCATTGCCACGCGAGCCGGCCCGCAACTCCTGGTGTTCACGTCTCAATTCTGCCAAGATCTTGTTCGCCTCAACGCGCGAGAGGCCGCCGTGGGCGGTCCCTTGGATG